CCGAAATCACCCAACGGAGCTAACGGAACTGACAGAATTCCATTTCGAGGCTTTTTTCACACTACTCCAATTACGGTCCAAATTCTAAAGCTTAAGCTCTCATTTAGGGACTAAGTGTCCCAAAATACTCTGAAACTCCAAACGAATCCTCTCGGCAATTCACAATAGCAGAAATAAACATGGGGAAAGTAAATAATCGGGGGTTGGGGCGTTAATTCTTAAAATGACCGGCCGGATCGTTACAACTGTCACATGAGGAACCACACCAAAGAAAATTGCTACAAACTCATTGGCTACCCATCTGATTTTGATTAAATGAAGAAAACAGGTGTTGGAACTAAGAGTTATGGTCAAGGAAAACTAGACAGCTAGAAGAGGGAGTCACTTGTTGTTGTGAATCATACAAATGTAGGCTCATCCTCTCAAGCAGCTGAGGGTATGGTTGTCCAACAGGATGGGCCGTCCAGTACCTGTCCCATCCTATTCTGTCCCAGCCCACTTCATGTTAAATAGGGATGGGCCATTGTTAAACGGGACACGAGATGGGACGGGACAACCATTTCATCCCCTCCCGTCTCGCCTGTCCCGCGAATTTTTTTTTGAATTCTAATCGTTGGGCAATAGCTTCAATTGCAAAAATAGCCGTTCCCAACAGCCAAAAAGGGTAAAAAAAATGCCCCCCNACACTCCCTCCCCCCAAACTTTTAATATAACCCCTAAGTTTATTAAATTATACTTTGGCCCTATTTTCTACTCTAAATACTTCTATCCTTCTTCATTTTTTCCCACAAAAAATTAATCATCCTCTCTCAAATCTCTTACATTCTATCTATATTATTCTCTCAGTTTTCTTACTATTAATATCAAGTGATAACTTTCAAGTATTTGGGCAAATATTTGGAGAAACTTTCAAGATTCAAATTAATTCGTCAAGTATTTGGAGCAATATTTTGGGCAATTTCTTCAAGTTTCAATATTTAATCACGATGCACTTGTTCCATCTCCTAAATTTAATATATAATTTTGCGTATCATTTTAGTGCTTAATTTTTATGTTTACTTTACGTGTTCTATTTTCGTATTTCATCTGTGAGTTTAATTTTTGTGTTAACTTTTTAAATTTAATTTCGTATTTAAATTATGCCACGTAAAAATGTATTTGGCATGTTTAATAAAAGTAGAAAAAAAATAGTAAAGGTGAAAGTAGTAGTAATCCTAATCCTAGTCCTAATCCTAACCCTTCTCCTAGAATTAGAAAACATACACTACTAAAAAAACCAGGGTTTAGCGACGGACAAAATCTGTAGCTAAACAGAAAAATCCATCGCTAATCTCATTTAGCGACGGATTAGCGACGGATTATCAAAAGATTCTTCTAGCAACGAGCATTTTAGCGACAGATTAGCGACGATGTTCGTAGCTAAATCCAGTTTTTTTTGTAGTGATATAGATGAGATGACTCATGTTGATAAAACTTCATTTTTCCAACCCCTATCCCCCTATGTTATAATATTAATGTCAGAGAACAACTAGATCATGAAACTTTACAAAGACTATTCGGTGATGATATTTTTTCGAGGATGAAGAAAATGAGGATGAAGAAAATGAGGAAGAGAATTAGATGAAATACCCACTAGTCCCGCAACACAAGCTCCAACTCAGAGTCAATCTCGGTCTGGAGTTTTACCCCCTGTACCCCCTGTAAGGGGTAAGCCTAAGGCTGAATGTCCCAAAACATCACTTGTATGAATTTTTTTTTAAACATGATAAAGTCAATCATCGTGCTATATGTGAAAAATGTAAGCAACAATTTGCACACACAAAAATGTAAGCAACAATTTGCTTTTAGCGTGGCATGATTTCAAATTAGAGATCATAGACATGCATTAGCGGAGAACGATCTAGAGATTTCCATATTATTCAGAGATTGGATTAATTCAAAAATAAAAAATCTTGGTTTTGAAAAATTAACCACTAGGGAAGAAGAAGAATACAATGAGATACTTAGCACTGTGAGCGATGACGGCATGGAGCTCATGGAACATCAATCAACAATTCCAATTTCAGAACAATGTCCGAGAGATATTATTGATAAGTTACAAAGAAGCTATATAGGAGCTTATAAATATTAGTATGATAATTTGTAATTGGCTACTAAGAGGCCTAGTTCAAACAGAACCCTTCCTAGAAGGTGGCTACGTAGATTAGGTGCTCTTCAAAGGAATTATATTTGTGTGTGAGGTTTGAAAGTTCTATTAATAAAATAAAAGGCTCTAAGCGTTGATTTTTTTTTATGAATTGTCTTAGTTACTTAATACTTTGAAATTATAACTCTATTATAATTACTAGAATATTGCATTAAAAGTCTTTATTTTAATATTTTATAATTCTTTACTTAGTTTTCTAATTTTTGTTTTAACATTTAAGTTTATTAAATAAGTAAAAAAAGTAGTCGTTGCAAACTTTAAAAACTTAGTCATTGTTAAAAAACTAGACGTTTTATTTTTAAAACTGCACTTAAGGCCCACGAACTCGTCCCGTCTCATCCCATCCCATCCCATCCCATTTGTTAGCGGGACGGGATGGGCCGACCGTTTCGTCCCGTTCCGTTTCGTCCCTTCCCGCCACCGTTCCGCTTAAATGTCATCCCGTCCCATCCCATCCCCTTGGACAACTATAGCTGAGGGTAGACAACTCATGAAGCCTGTTGATAGAGGACATTACTTCACGTATGAGCAATATAGCCAGATACTCAGCCTTCTCAGTAAGGACTCTGGGGAATGTCAAGCAAATACAACATGTAAGGTCATTAGCCTAATGTCTAAATTTGATCAAAAGGACAAAGATTGGTTTGTTGACCCAGGGGCAACTCATCATATTAATTCTAGTCTAGAACTGCTTGAAAATACAAAGAGCATAGATAGGTTCATCAGAGATAAGGTACACTTACCTATATGGGAGAAAGCCGATATTACTCACATTGGTAATACTGGACTATTTGAAAAGGAAGTAGTCAAAAATGTTCTTTATGTACCTAATTTTAGGTTTAACGTATTATCAGTTTCAAAGCTAACCAAAGCACTATCTTACAATGTCAATTTCTTCCCTGACTTCTGTGTATTTCAGTATCTTTAGAATGTTAAGGTGGGTATTGGTAAAGAAAATGGAAGATTGTATGTGCTCAAAGGTGGTAGATTGGCTAACAAAATTAAGGCAATAAATGCAGTGAGCAGAGTGGTTAAAGGATATAGCAGCCTGTGGCATAAGAGGCTAGGTCATCCTTCACTATGTGTCATGAAGAATATGAGAGCCCTACATATTAATACTAGTAGTTTAGCACATAATACCTGTTTTGTATGCCCATTGGCAAAGCAGACAAGATTGAAGTTTCCTCTTAGTGACTCTAGATATAATGTTTTGTTTCACCTTGTACACATGGACTTGTGGGGACCTTATAAAATTCCATCTTTTGATTAAAAATACTACTTCCTTACTATTGTGGATGATCACTCTATGTACACATACATATATTTTCTGCATCTGAAATCTGAGGTCATAGTTGTAATGAAATAGTTTCTAACCATGATTTAGAACCAGTTTGGAACTTCAGTCAAGCTTATTAGATCAGATAATATGACCGAGTTTTTCAATATTTAGTGTGCAGAATTGCTAAATAGCCTTGGCATAATCCATCAAAGCAGTTGTGTCTATATCCCTCAACAGAATGGCATAGTTGAGAGGAAACATAGGCATATTTTGGATATTGCTAGAACATTGAAGCTTCAAGGATCAATACCTATCAAGTATTGGGGCATTTGTGTGAAGAGTGCAGTATACTCAATCAACAGAATGCCTTCTAGTGTTCTAGGGGGCAAGACACCTTTTGAGCTATTATACCACAAGAAGGCATCACTGATGCATTTGAGAGTACTGGGATGTTTGTGCTTTGCAACAGTCTTGCCCAAGGGAGACAAGTTTGCATAAAGGTCAAGGATGTCCGTCTTCATGGGGTATTCAGAGACAAAAAGGAGGTATATACTCCTAGACCTGAAAACCAAATAATTTTTCACATATAGAGATGTGATATTCAGAGAGTCAATGTTTCCTTTTGCTCATAAAAATAGTAATACTTGGCCACAAATTGGAGACACTCATCAGGAGTTGAATTCTTAGGTGTGTTCTCCCCTATACATTGAGACTATGAAGATGAGATCCACAACTAGAACTCAAAATATGCCAGCTGAAGGAGAAGACTCGATCCATCATGAGGAAGTAGTTTAAACTGATCTGCAGGCTCATGAGATGCAAGACACATTAGTGAATAAGGAAGAAACACACAATGGAACAGAAACTGATATCCCACCTGCAGCTCAAGGAAGTGAAGAATATCAAGGAAGCCCACTTCAAACTACAAGTGCACAACATGTTCTAGAATATGATAATGCAAATGCAGAACCACAATATGGTAAAAAGTCCATCAGACAGACCAAAGAGCCTATTTGGATGAAAGATTATGTCATCGGCAAGAAGTCCAACACCTGCAGTTATCCACTTTCAAACTATTTGGCCTATGGAAAGACTACTCCTAGCTATCAGTGCCATCTATCAAAGTTCTCTCAACTAATAGAGCCACAAACATTCAAGGAAGCAGTACGGGATAGTAGATGGGTAGAAGCAATAAAGTAGGAGGTCAAAGACTTGGAAGATAATAAAATATGGAGCACAGCTGACTTACCAAAGGGGAAGAATATAGTGGGCTTAAAATGGGTGTATAAGATCAAGTACAAGTCAAATGGTGAAGTTGAGAGATTCAAGGCAAGGTTGGTTGCAAAAGATTATAGTCAAAGAGAGGGTTTGGACTACCATGGCACCTTCTCACTAGTGGCCAAAATGGTCACTATGAGATCTGTGATAGCATCAACAGCTTCAAGGGGCTGGAGTTTATTTTAAATGGACGTGTACAATGTATTTTTACAAGGTGACTTATTTGAGGAAGTATACATGGAGTTACCAGAAGGGTTCAGGCAACATGGTGAGAAAAAGGTTTGCAAGTTGTTGAAGTCTTTGTATGGGCTCAAACAAGCCTCGAGGCTGTGGAATATCAAATTAACTGAGGCATTACTGAGTGCAGGCTTTGTTCAAAGTCATCATGATTATTCATTATTTTCATTAAGGAAGCAGGATAATCTTGTCATTGTATTAGTATATGTAGATGATCTTCTAATCACAGAAAATAGTGTACAGTTAATTGAACATGCCAAAGCTATTCTGCATCGACAATTCAGAGTCAAGGATTTAGGAGAACTCAAATATTTCTTAGGCATTGAAGTGTTGAGATCCAAGACTGGAATTCTACTAAATCAAAAGAAGTACATATTGGAGTTAATCTCAGAGTTGGGGCTAAGTGGAGCTAAGCCAGCCTCTACACCTCTAGAGGCAAATGTCAAATTAACACCTGCTGAATATGACCAACAAATGGTATTAGAGGTGATGAGTTACTAGAAGACATAAGTTCCTACCAGAGATTAGTGAGTAAGCTCTTATATATTACTATCACTAGACCTGATATTAACTATGCAGTGAACATTAAGCCAATTTATACAAAGGCCTAAGAAGTCTCACTGGAAATCAGCAATGAGAGTTGTAAGGTACTTGAAAGGTGCACCTGGGCAAGCATTTAGATGAGCTTTGGAAATGCAGAAAGACTCACATGCTGGTGTGATTCAGATTGGGCTGCATGTCCCAATACCAGGAGGTCTATCACTGGCTATGTTGTAAAGTCTGGAGACAGCTTAGTATCATGGAAATCAAAGAAGCAACAAACTGTATCCAGAAGTTCAGTTGAGGTTGAATATAGGAGTATGGCTGCAGCAGTAGCATAAATAACATGGCTATTGGGGCTATTTAAGGAGTTGGCATTTCATGTTACTTCACCAGTGACAACAAATCAGCCATACAGATTACAAAAAATCCAATCCTACATGAGAGAACAAAGCATATCGAGATTAATTGCCATTTCATTCGAGACAAGACTAAAGAAGGAGTAGTCAAGGCAGTTCATGTGAGTACCAAGGATCAACAAGCACACTAACTAATAAAGGGGCTAGGGATCACACAACACATGCATTTACTTGGCAAGCTTGGTGTGCTCAATTTCTTGCATCCTCCAGCTTGAAGGGGCATGTTCAAATAGATCATGTGCAGCTCACGTGTATTAGTTAGTTAGAATGTTATTTATAGTTGTTAGGTAGTTAATGACAACTGTTAATGAGTTGTGATAGTTTGATAAGTTAATTAGCGGTAGTTGGTGATTAGTATATATGTAGATTGTTAACTAGGGCTGCTCAAAACCTAACCAAAATAGTTAACCGAACTGATTCAATGACTTATTAGCTTATTGGTATCGGATTATCGGGGTAATGGATGGTGAATGGATTGAGATTTTATAATTAACGGCTTAACGGTTTGGAGGCGGATTACTCAATTTTCTTATCGGGTAAATCATTAACCCGTTAAGAATTTTTATATTTACAATTTTGCCCCCTATGCTATTGAAACCCTAAATGGCTAAATCCCTAATTTCCATTTCTAATTCTCAATTGTATGCAGCCACAAGAGGCAGAGAAGTCGTCAGTCTCGTCTCTCTCTTGAACTAAGAATTGAGAAGTCGAAAAATCGAAATCTCAATGATTACTACGTGTATGTCTGTATGAGTAGTCTTGATGGTATTAAAAAAAAAATTAATACGTATATGATAATATGAGTAGTCTTGGACTCTTCAATTAAAAAAATACCGTTTGGTTAGATCTTAGATGGTATTAAAAATTTGGTATTGATTGAATGATTGTTCAAAAAAATTCTATTTCGTTTGGCCGATAAGCTGCCCGATAACCGCCGAATAATTATTAATCCGATATCAATCCCGTTGTCTTATTGGATAGCTATCGGATTACTATATTTGTAATCCGATAACTGTTAAGCCGAATCATTAAGCGCAATTATCACCCGTTAAGCACCCCTATTGTTAACTACTAAATGAGCTAATGAAACAGGTGTCATTTTCAAAGTGCCCCGTTCCCCTCTCTCTCTTGACTCGATTAACGAGCAAGGTGAAAGCTTCATGAAAAATTCTTTAGTTTATCTTAAGAAATTCATTAAAAATATATAAATTGTTAGTAAGGTAGAACCTGATAGCTATAAAGAGACTTTCGAGTGAACTTAACAAATCATTTATTAGAGAAATGGTAGATTGAAAACTAAATAATTAATGTCTTTTTTGAATATTTAAAGTTATATTTTAAAGGATGTGCAGTTAGAACTATCCTTGAAAGTAGTGATACTCCTTTCAGCCTTTCCTATATAATTGGACAAATCGGCTTTATACGACTCCTAAATTCTTGTTTCCATAAATACATGCCGCCTTATTCAACTGCTTACCCTAGGAACTTAGGAGAGGGCCAGCGAATTGAACTGTCCTATTTTAGACTGAACGACATTATTATATATTAGGACCACAAGAAAATGGTAACGTGGCCTTTGAACCTTTGGGGTGGGTGTTGTTTTTGTATTTGCTTTTAGAAGTTGAGATAACTATGATCTAAAAAAGGCATTATGAATTGTACCATATAGGGTTGGAATGACAACAAGTTTTATATCATTACCGAGACAAGATTTCAAGCTTATGAGTTCAAGATTCTAATCGTTTGAAGTTACTGGGTTCTAAATTAATAATTTATACATATTTAATAATTTTTTTTAAGATAAATACAGGGTTCGAACCAAAGCTACTAGATTCGGGCGAACCCTCTCCCGACACTCTAGCTCCACCCCTAATCATTGCCAACAAGGTTTGTAATAGATTGGTGAGTGCTCCTTCATTCTAACTAAATATTTCGTGTTCGAGCAGGGATATGAAAACCACTTTTAATATGGAACGTTTTACTTTCCAATGTGAAATTTTTGTAAGATAGTTTGTTATTGGCAAGTTGGAAGTGAGACGTTTCTTTCTCGTACCGTGCCTGTTAGCCTCGGAACTGATCATTATGAAATAGCGCATAACAGGCACGAGATTGACTCAACAGGCACGAGATTGACTCAATAGGCACGAGATCCTAAAGTTAATTATTTTTAACAGAAAAATCAAATTTATTTGAATTTTAAATTCAAAATTCGAATAAATAGTCGTGTCTGTTTGTGAAACAAGACATCTTTTCTGAAAGGGTCTGTTGGTTGCCTATAAATACACAAGAATTCCAACGAAATGATATAGAAAATCACAAGTGTTATTGCAGGCTTTGTTGTATCCTGAAGAGAATCGTTTTGTATTTTCCCTAAATTAGTATACAGGCGATAACTCTTTAAGGACAGTCGATTTTCACGCCTCAAAGCCAATTTTGTTTATTATTTTTTTAATAATCTTAAAGAGTTATTCTGCTATGGAGAAATTGATGTCTGTTGTTGAGAATCCGAAGGAGTTCATCAAACTTGATCGCTTTGATGGAACGAACTTTACCCGTTGGAGAGACAAGATGATATTCTTGTTGTCCGCTCTCAATATCTACTATGTTCTTGATTCTGCCTTGCCTCCGATGCCTGAGC